TTTTCCATACCATTTACATTTACATTTAAGTCATTTAGCAGACGCTCTTATCCAGAGCGACTTACAAATTGGTGCATTCAACTTAGCACTATACCACTATCTGCCTATGCAATGTATTAGCCATTCCATATCCTTGTTGTTCCTTAGTTTAGTTTGTGGTACTGTGTAATAAGCTGTGCAATAAGTTAGTTTCCTTTATGCATGTGAGTGGTCTTTGGGGAATGGTTTGGGTTAATAATGGACAACATTGGGCCAGTGTCTCAGCCAGGATTCCTGTTCTCATTTCTGGTGTAATAGAGAAAATAGAGAGGGAAATACTGACCCTCCAGTCCTACAGGATGATAAACAGTACTAAAATAACAGAAAGAGGAAACAATCAGATGACACTTTGAGTTCCCTCTTTTGTGCCCTATGAACTCCTTTCTCCACTGATGTGATGGACTTATATAGCACCATTCCAGAGTTTCACAAAACCCACAAAGACTGATTTAGATGTATTCATGTGGAATGTATACCAAGGCTAACTACAGACACCAATCTATGCTTAGCCTAAGCTTGGGCGGAGTGTTTGACCTAATAATCACATACTGTAAGTGCTACTGTACTTATAGTAGAAATAAATATATGCTGTATTCGTCCCAAAACATGTTCATTTTTATGGCAAAAATATCACTTGATTATAAAAGGAAAGATCTTGGTGGTACTGCTTAATCACACATTTTAGTCATTTAGCAGACACTCTTATTCAGAGCAATTAGGGTTAAGTGCCTTGCTCAAGGGCATATTTACAGATTTTTGGGGGATTTTGAACAGCGACCTTTCCGTGACTGACCCAACGCTCTTAACCACGAGGCTACCTGCCACCCTGCAGTAGTTTATTGTACACAGTAGGAGGCCAACGGACCCATATGTGAACTTTTAAAAGTTGAGTAGGGGTGAGTGCTTTTGAAATGAAACTCTCAAATATATTCTTGGTATTGGTCATCTGTACCCATGAGTGTAAAATATCTTTAATTTAGCAAAGAGAGCAATTCTTTTTTTTTAACAAGTGCTGTTGACCCTCATTAGAGAAGTATGAGTGAAGAGAGAGTGATGTTTTCAGAGTCCTTGATTAAGTGAAATGGTGTTTGCACTGATTGCTTCTTTGAGATCACGTTTCACAGACACTCAACTCAACACACTATTTCCATTCCTAACCGTTCATCTAAAAACATGGCCCCCTCTCATCTCCACCTCTAAAGGAGATTGAGTTTGATGGCAGGCAGCAGCAGCCAGTCAGTATTTAAGGATTATTCTGATGTTCTCATCCCCTCCATCCTTCATCTTATCCAACTGCACTAGTAGAGAGACGTTAATGTAAATGATGGTGTAATGGAGAAAGAGTGGAGTGGGGCTGTCTGAGGCTTGGAATTCCACTACACATAACCTGAACTCGCTTGTTAATTTGTATTATGTATCAGAATATTACAATATTGCATGTGATCTATTCTTATAATGTTTTAGATGTCATGACCTAAACAAAGCCATTGGTAGGTATTGAGTAATAGCCTAGTGAATCTATAGCTTATTACATATCGCATCACAAACCCATAGGCTATGTTCCACACTAGTAAGTCTTCAACTAAACCTAATCACTGTCAAATGAGCTTACTCTCAGGTGGTTAATGGTTGCACACACACTGCACACACACACACTGCACACACTCTCTCTCTCTCTCTCTCTCTCTCTCTCTCTCTCTCTCTCTCTCTCTCTCGCTCTCTCTCTCTCTCTCTCTCTCTCTCTCTCTCTCTCTCTCTCTCTCTCTCTCTCTCTCTCTCTCTCTCTCTCTCTCTCTGTCTTTATCTCTCGCTGGTCTTATTTCCTGCTGAGGTTTCATATGTTATTTACAGTTGTTATTTAAGTAAATCATTGGAGTCTGCTTTTCGATTCAGCTGTAGCACCATCCCTGCTTTAGAATTCTGAGATTCCAGATCCTGATTTTCTGCTAAGGCATTCAGCTTTAAGTGGCACCAGTGTTCCTCTCTCTTCTATGGTAATGAAATCATTGTGACTGCTGCTCAATAGTATTCCACAAGTCAGAAAATGTACTACAATACAGCATTGTATTACAATGGACAATTATTGGGGGTTTTGCGCTGAATTTAAAGGCAACAAGTGGCCTCACCTATTCTGTTTCAGAACTTCATGATATATTTTTTTGAGTCACAGACGTGTAAGGGAAGGGTGCATCCGCTAGCTTCAGAATTGCTCTTTTGAAGTAAATTCTTCCTATCTGTCCCTGAGCATTTTCGCAGCGGATAGATATTTTGTATTAATTGAAACATTCTACCATTTGTTATTAAACTTAATACACTCATGGGCAGATTTATCAAATAGTGGCTGCTAATGAGAAAGTGTTGCACTGATCTTTGCAGGCGTAATAATTCTATCCATTCTCTGTATTCATGAAGCATAGTCATTGTCATGAGTGGCATGGGTGGATGAAAGAAAAAAAAACATGGGAAAATCTCCCTTTTCACACGAGACTATCATTAGGAGGGGTCTTGCAATGTCATTCTTTACATGCTGACCAGACCGGACATGTCGCGTGCGCGAGTGTTGCTAAATAAATGTACACATACGTGTTATTCAATCATTGCACCCACACTGCTTGTGCGCGTCAGCGAGCGTCTGCGTGGCCAGGCGTTAAAATAGAACTTGGTTCTATTTGTGACGCTTGACTCGCTGCAAGTCCTGCCTCTCCCATCTCCTCATTGGTTTTTAGGAGCATATACCCACGTGGGTGATTGAAAGATGAATTGAGGTCTATGCTCCAGTCCAGTTGGTGGTGGTAATGTATCTTAAAGTTGGTTGCCAACCAACATATAAAGTCCAAAGAAGAAGAAGAAGCCTGAAGGAGGAGAGATTACTAGAAACAAACTCGGTTTACCCTTTTATCTGTGGATTAATTGTTGGAGTAGAGGACCTTGTGCATTTCAGGTAAAATAACAACCCAATGTTTATATCCCAGGACAAATTAGCTAGCAACAGCAAGCTAGCTAGCTAAATTTCCATAAATGTTTAATGCTTTTCGACCTGTCCCCAAGCTAATATAGTTGGTTCAGAGTTCGTTTTGATATTTCAACCTGCGTGTCCTGATCGTGTCTGGTGTGGGAGGAAAAAATCAACAAGCGTGCGATGGCGCACGCTGACGCACGCGCGGTCTGGTCAGCATGTTATCTATGCGTATCCATTTAGACCTGTGAGCACAAATAAATCAATTCTCACAATGAAGGTAATCAGTTTTGATAAAAGTACTATTTTGACAAGCATGCATTTGCGAAACAAAGGATTTGATATCCCCAACTGTTGTCGAATGTGGCATAAAACGCATTAAAGTAGAGTAGGTAATGCTAGTAAGACAATTGTTTTTTTGAAAAACACTATTACATGGATGATTGGATATTCAAAGTGTATGTAGTTCTGTCCTTGAGCTGTTCTTGTCTATTAATGTTCTGTATTATGTCATGTTTCATGTTTTGTGTGGACCCCAGGAAGAGTAGCTGCTGCTTTTGCAACAGCTAATGGGGGATCCTAATAAAATACTAAATACCCAAATTTGTGATGAGTTACTGTTTTTTCCTTCTCTCTCTGTGACTAATACATGATGACTCTGTAGCTCAGCTGGTAGAGCACGGCGCTTGGAACGCCAAGGTAGTGGGTTCGATCCCCGGGACCACCCATACACAAAAAAAAAAAGAATGCACGCATGACTGTAAGTCGCTTTGGATAAAAGCGTCTGCTAAATGGCATATTATTATTATTATTATTATATTATTATTATATTATGACTCATAAACAGTGAGGTCAGAGACTTCTTCAAAGATGTTTACACTCACAGCAACCTAACAAAGCTACTGTTATTATTGTGAGTTAACTTCACTACCGAAACTCACCATACACTGTGGACACCTCACCCAGAGAACAAAGTAGCGGTTAGTAAGAGCTAGAGGTGCTGTCTGTCTGTCTGTCTGTCTGTCTGTCTGTGTGCTGCTAATACCTGAAACCCCAAACTGCTGAAATGTGTCAGATGACTAAAGGCCCATTCTTCCTGTGTTGCTACTTCCTATCCCAGTCCTACCCCAGGCTGTTGAGCCTCTTTCATTCCGGCAGCTCTGATCAGTGGTGGGGGGGGATCATGACTGAGCAGTGGAGCGATGTTTGACCCACTGAGCACTGTAGCATTATCCTGTGGTCGGCTACTAATATATCACAGCACAGACATCTTTGTGTAATTTACCCCTGTACATTTGTGTATCTTCTGTTGTCGCCACGTTCTCTTTTCCTAGTAGCGATACTTCCTAATTAACAAATGTGCTCTGGATTAGTGTTGGTGATGGCTATAAAAGTTTATTAGCAATCCATTGAGTGAAGGGAGTGGGAGTGACAATCCCTGGCACCAACAGAAGCCCTATGATCAATACACTCCCCCAAACCTCCCTCACACACACAGCTGTCTCAGTGGCTGACTCGCACATTTAGTCATTAATACCTCCAAATGGACTACAGTGAGGAGTTGGTGGGGGGGGGGGGGGGGGGGGGGTCACTGAAAAGTGCTGAAAATTGAATGTGCTTTTTCTCCCACTACTTATTTTTTGGAGTGCATAAAGGCCATTAAACTTTGAAGACGCTATTTACTTGTGCATACAGTACTGCAATCCATTGCCTGTTGTATGTACCTTGTTTTTGTATTGTTCAGGCCTCATTTGTTAAAAGAGACTTTAGTCTCAATATGACTTCCCTGTTGAAATAAAGGTAAATAAATATCCTATCCTATCCTAACCAAATCTCTGTTTTTCATTTCAGACATGAACCACTGAAGCTGAGACGGACGAAGGACTGCAATAAGCTCACGTGACGAGCTCTATTCCCCCACCACCAGAAGATCTCAATCATGACACCCAAATGGCTGGTGATATTTTTCCTTTTTCTACAATCTGGGACCAACAATGCATTCCCCATGGCCCCGACCAAGCTTCCCCCTGAGACAGGCACCTACAGGGTCACAGACACAAGCCTCACTCATCTCACAGTGCACAGCCGGACGGGAGAGGTCTATGTGGGAGCAGTGAACTTGGTCTATAAGCTGTCTGCCAACCTAACAGAGCTGCGTTCACACATGACTGGCCCCGTGGAAGACAACGCCAAATGTTACCCCCCTCCCAGCGTCCGAGCCTGTGCACATAAACTGGAGTCCTCTGACAATGTCAACAAGTTGCTGCTGGTTGATTACGCTGGCAACCGCCTGGTAGCATGTGGAAGCATCTGGCAGGGTGTGTGTCAGTTCCTGCGGCTGGAGGACCTCTTCAAGCTGGGAGAGCCCCATCACCGTAAGGAGCACTACCTCTCTGGAGCCAGGGAGGCCGACGGCATGGCAGGAGTGGTGGTTGACAGAACAGAAGGGAAGTGGAAGAATGAGAAGAAGGGGGGCAGTCGGCTGTTCATCGGTGCAGCCATCGATGGCAAGTCAGAGTATTTCCCTACCCTGTCCAGCCGTAAGCTGGTCGCTGATGAAGAGAGTGTTAACATGTTCAGTCTGGTCTACCAGGACGAGTTTGTGTCCTCACAAATCAAGATACCCTCCGACACTCTGTCCCTCTACCCGGCGTTTGACATCTACTACGTGTATGGATTCTCCAGCCGTACCTACATCTACTTCCTCACGTTGCAGCTGGACACACAGCTCACCCAGATGGATGCCACTGGTGAAAAGTTCTTCACCTCCAAGATAGTGCGGATGTGTTCCAATGACACCGAGTTCTATTCGTATGTGGAGTTCCCCCTGGGTTGCACCAAGGATGGGGTGGAGTACCGGCTGGTCCAGTCCGCCTACAAGCACCGTCCAGGTCGGATGCTGGCCCAGGCCTTAGGGCTCTCTGAGGACGAGGATGTGCTGTTTGTGGTGTTCTCCCAGGGCCAGAAGAACCGGGCCAACCCGCCTCGGGAAACAGTCCTGTGTCTCTTTACCCTGCATCAGATCAACCTGGCCATGAGGGAGAGGATCAAGTCGTGCTACCGTGGGGAAGGCAAGCTGTCCCTGCCATGGCTGCTCAACAAGGAGCTCCCATGCATCAACACGGTGAGTCATCACCATTTCTTTTTAGTAATTCCACTTCAAATGAAGTACTTCTATCCAGCCTCAGGCCCCAGCCCCGGAGCCAATATTCTGCTTGGTTTACTTGCATATTTCATCCATACCTCATTAACTTAAATAGCCCAAAAGCCCAATGAATATATTGAAACATTTAAAGATTTAAAGAGATTTTTGCATCTACTTACACATTTTGAGATTTTGGTTGTTTTGGTACTTTTAATATGAGTACTTTCAAAAAGTAAAACAAAAAAAAAGTAAATGTCAACATGTCAAAAACTTTATGTAAATGTATATTCATACTACCGTCATCAAGATTTCATGAATTTTAAACACTTTTAAATGGCCATACATCCATCATTTCAAAAGCTCACTACATTGAATCACAAATAATTGTAAAGCCCATTTAATACAGAATGTTAGAAACTGGAGTATGTAGTAACTTACTTTTAAGAGATAGTGATTGGGTCAAAATAGGCATTTGGCGATTGGTAGGCTGAATTCAGTGTACATGCCTTTAACTGCCATTTCCCGAAAGTCAGAATCTTCCCACACACCAACAAATTTCTCTCAGCTTCAGAAGCATCTACATTCACCAACGTTTGTGTGGTTATCCTTCGAAATATTATCCAGACTTACTCACAGGGAATTGTTGATATGTTGTCAAAGTTTTATTCTAGATAACATTTTCTTATATTTTTTTTGCCAAAAATGCTTTTTACGTATGTCTTTAGTATTTTACAGCTTCATGAAGTAGTCACCTGGAATGCATTTCAATTAGCAGGTGTGCCTTCTTATAAGTTAATTTGTGGAATTTCTTAACGCTTTGAGACAATCAGTTGTGTTGTGACAAGGTAGGGGGGGTATACAGAAGATAGCCCTATTTGGTAAAAGACCAAGCCCATATTATGGCAAGAACAGCTCAAATAAGCAAAGAGAAACGACAGTCCATCATTACTTTAAGACATGAAGGTCAGTCAATCCGGAAAATGTCAAGAACTTTGAAAGTTTCTTCAAGTGCAGTCGCAAAAACCATCAAGCGCTATGATAAAACTGGCTCTCATGAGGACCGCCACAGGAATGGAAGACCCAGAGTTACCTCTGCCACAGAGGATAAGTTCATTAGAGTTACCAGCCTCAGAATTTGCAGCCCAAATACATGCTTCACAGAGTTCAAGTAACAGACACATCTCAGCATCATCTGTTCAGAGGAAACTGTGTGAATCAGGCCTTCATGGTCGAATTGCTGCAAAGAAACCACTACTAAAGGACACCAATAAGAAGAAGAGACTTGCTTGGGCAAGAAACACGAGCAATGGACATTAGACCAGTGGAAATGTGTATTTTGGTCTGGAGTCCAAATGGGAGATTTCTGGTTCCAACCGCCATGTCTTTGTTAGATGCGGTGTGGGTGAATGGATGATCTCTGCATGTGTATTTCCCACCGTAAAGCATGGAGGAGGAGGTGTCATGGTGTGGGGGTTCTTTGCTGGTGATACTGTCTGTGATTTATTTAGAATTCAAGTCACACTTAACCAGCATGGCTACCACAGCATTCTGCAGCGATACACCATCCCATCTGGTTTGGGCTTAGTGGGACTATCATTTGTTTTTGAACAGTACAATGACCCAACACACCTCCAGGCTGTGCAAGGGCTATTTTACCAAGAAGGAGAGTGATGGAGTGCTGCATCAGATGACCTGGCCTCCACAATCACCCGACCTCAACCAAATTGAGATGATTTGGGATGAGTCGGACCACAGAGTGAAGGAAAAGCAGCCAACAAGTGCTCAGCATATGTGGGAACTCCTTCAAGACTGTTTGAAATGTATTCCAGGTGAAGCTGGTTGAGAGAATGCCAAGAGTGTGCAAAGCTATCATCAAGGCAAAGGGTGGCTATTTGAAGAATGCCAAATATAAAATATATTTGGATTTGTTCAACACTTTTTGGGTTACTACATGATTCCATATGTGTTATTTCATAGTTTTGATGTCTTCACTATTATTCTACAATGTAGAAAATAGTCAAAATAAAGAAAAACCCTGTGAGTAGCCAATGAGTAGGTGTCCTAAAACTTTTGACCAGTAGTGTATATATCAATAATTTGTAAATCCGGTCCTAACAAAATGAAACCAAAATATTTAGGCTGACTTTATCCAGTGTCCACAAAAATATATTTGCGGTATATGCAAATATGCTCAAATGTAATGACATATCACCTAATTTGCATATGTTATACAATATTTCAGAATTGTAATCAAGGGTTGAAGAAAAAAAAATCAAATCGTTTCGTTTTGTTCTGAACAGAACCATCTTTTTTTTCCGTTCCGTTCCAATGTTCCGACCATCAAAATAATGTTCTGAACCGGTTCGTACCCAAAATGTTTTATTTTTTCTTCATTTAGCTCGACATTAAATTATTTCACCAATCAGTGTGGCTAGAGCAGCTTGCTGTGGACCGGGTAAGCAATTTAATCTGTATAGGAAAGTCGTGAAAAGAAAATTGTATTTTGCTGTAACAGCACGGTTTAATCAGAATGAAAGACAAACACACACACTGTGCTGCCAGTCACTTTGTAGGGCGCGAAATGCAACTGACATTTTGAGGGTGAGGAGAGAGGATAGAGGAAGCTTGCCTTAAAGCGCTGGGCATCTTGTTATGACATGCATTATCTGAATTAGGCCTACAGAATTATATCTATGGAGGAGCGGCTTCTATGGAGGAACTTTGAATGTCTTTAAACTTTAAACTTCCTATGATATCTTAACCACTCTCCCCTTATGAGCTATGATGACTATTTTGGTATTTCTTCCATCCAGAATTTTTTTTTTACAGAATGAAATCCCTGCTGATCTATACAATGTTTGACAAATTGAACAATTTATATTACAGTAACTTTATCCTGGATAAGAAATTAAGAACATTTTATCTCTATAGAAGGATATCTCCTATGAAGCTGACTCCAGTCGTATCACTGTATTACAGTATCATTTATTTGGTTCACAGCTTCCCTGAGGCAACTCATAAAACATACAGTTAAGTTGTGATCCATTTAAAAATACAGCAGGGCATTTAAAGGATTGCATTTTATTAGGGTACCTGTCTCAAGGATTGAAATCAGGAACAGTTGAAGAGCTTCTCCCAAAACTATTCTGTACATTTATAATGTCTGAGGGCACCCCACCCCCACCCAAACCCACCTCGTTAGTTTTTAGGGCAGAGCAAGGCAGATGGTGAGGAGAACAACGCGCGTCAGTAGCTGACCTGGATCCCTTTAGGACCTGGATCCCTTTAGGAAGGCAGGGTTGTTTTTATTAGGAGGAACAGGGCTCCCCATAGCTGATGCAGATCATCTCTTTTTGATAAATTATGGCCTGCTTCATCTGCATTATCTGCCCCTTCTCATGCACAGCGATAGCCCTTGACCTCATAATGAGAGTGTGCGTGCCAGACTCTCGCACAGGCCTTGTTTGATACATTTATCCTTCATAAAGGCTCATCAACAACCGTTTGCTCCTCCCACACCGGCATGTTTCAGACTGACATGGTCAGCCTACCCACTGGGCAAAAAGTTGTTGAATCAACATTGTTTCCACGTTATTTCAACCAAAATATTCAATGTGATGACATTGAATCAACGTGGAAAACTGATTGGATTTGAAAAAAGTGGTTAACATAAGGGAATTTTGTATTTTTTCAAACAAATATTCGACCTAAATCCAATGACATGTAGAATTGTTTTTTGATTTCACGTTGAATTATCATTAGTTGACAACTCAACCAAATGTAAATCAAAACTAGACGTTGAACTGACATCTGTGCCCAGTGGGTAGCTTTCGGAGCAAAAATAAATATCTCTATTTAACATGAATGTGCAGTTTCACCTGTGCTCAGAGGGGTATTTCTTATTACATTTCTTATCTTAATAATTGATGGCATGGTCATTTTTCTTTATGTACCCCTAGAGGTGTATAAAGAAAGCTCCCAAAACCTATTACCGTTTTCTGTATTCCAGGCCCCAAATTAGTAAATAGGCTACATTTGATCCAATACCTTGATACATTCTGAACATTGTCCCCTTCTTGTTTTGTTTTGCAGCCAAAGCAGATTGGGGATGATTTCTGTGGGCTGGTGTTGAACCAGCCTCTGGGGGGTCTACGGGTGATAGAGGGGACCCCTCTGTATGATGACCGCGTAGATGGCATGGGAGCAGTAGCAGCCTACACCTATGGAGACCACTCAGTGGTGTTTGTGGGAACCCGCAGCGGACACCTCAAAAAGGTAAGAGAGATTCTTTCTGTTCAGTTGGGCCGATCAATTATTCCCCGCTAGCTGTGTTATAATCCTTTACATGAATGCTTAAAAGGTGAAGGCCTGGGGAAACTCTGGTGATGGAGGTAGAGATGGGATTTCACCGAACACCAACCTTTTTGTCTGATTTATTCTGGAATGTGATTAAATATTTGTAGCACGTTAGTATTTTGGGGGGGTATTTTATTAGGATCTCCATTAGCTGTTGTGATAGCAGCAGGACAGAACAGCTTAAGGACAGAACTGCATAAATGTTAAACACAGAGAGAGAAAAAACAGAGCGAGACCTATTATTCTAGGCCTACATTTATCATTAACATTTTCATATATTACATTTACATTCAGTAGCATCTATCAGTACATACACACAAAATATTTAGGTCAAATAGGGGAGAGGGTTTGTGCTGTGAGGTGTTGCTTTATCTGTTTTTTAAAGCCAGGTTGCTGTTCACTTGAGCAATATGAGATGGGAGTTCCATGCAATCATGGCTCTATAATACTGTACGTTTCCTTGAATTCGTTCTGGATTTGGAGACTGTGAAAAGACCCCTGGTGGCATGTCTGGTGGGGTAAGTTTGTGTGTCAGTGCTGTGTGTAAGTTGACTATGCAAACAATTTAGAATTTTCCACACATTAATGTTTCTAATAAAAACAAGAAGCGATGCAGTCAGTCTCTCCTCTACTTTTAGCCAAGAGAGGCTGGCATGCATAGTATTGATATTAGCCCTTTGATTACAGTGAAGAGCAAGACATGCCACTCTGTTCTGGGCCAGCTGGTGTTTTTCTAGGTCCTTCTTTGCAGCACCAGACTTTCATTGTCAGATTCAGCTGAGGTCTAGAACTTAGGGAATTATTTTTACCAAATACAATGCTTTTAGATTTAGAGATGTTATATAGGACTAGTTTATTACTGGTCGCCCATTCTAAAACTGACTGCAACTCTTTGTTTATAATAATAATATAATAATAATAAAAATTATGGTTGCAATGATTTCACCAGCTGTGGTTGCTGACATGTATAATGTTGAATCATCAGCATACATAGACACACAGGCTTTGTTTACTGCTAGTGGTAGGTCACTAGTAAAAATAGAAAAGAGTAAAGGACCAAGAGAGCTCCCCTGCGGTACACCACACTTTACATGTTTAACATTAGAGAAGCTTCCATTAAAGAAAGCCTTCTCTGTTCTGTTAGATAGATAGCTCTGAATCCACTATATGGCAGAGGTAACACATAAGCCATAACACATACAGTACCAGTCAAATGTTTGGACACACCTACTCATTCAATGGTTTTTCTTTATTTTTTACTATTTTCTACATTGTAGAATAATAGTGAAGACATCAAAACTATGAAATAACACATATGGAATCATGTAGTAACCAAAGAAGTGTTAAACAAATCAAAATATGTTTTATATTTGAGATTCTTCAAATAGCCACCCTTTGCCTTGATGATAGCTTTGCACACTCTTGGCATTCTCTCAACCAGCTTCACCTGGAATGCATTTCAAACAGTCTTGAAGGAGTTCCCACATATGCTGAGCACTTGTTGGCTGCTTTTACATTTACATTTACATTTGAGTCATTTAGCAGACGCTCTTATACAGAGCGACTTACAGTTAGTGAGTGCATACATTTTTAATACTGGCTCCCCGTGGGAATCGAACCCACAACCCTGGCGTTGCAAGCGCCATGCTCTACCAACTGAAGCTTTTCCTTCACTCTGCGGTCCAACTCATCCCAAACCATCTCAATTGGGATGAGGTCGGGTGATTGTGGAGGCCAGGTCATCTGATACAGCACTCCATCACTCTCTTTGGTCAAATAGCCCTTACACAGCCTGTAGGTGTGTTTTGGGTCATTATCCTGTTGAAAAACAAATGATAGTCCCACTAAGCGCAAACCAGATGGGATGGCGTATCGCTGCAGAATGCTGTGGTAGCCATGCTGGTTAAGTGTGCCTTGAATTCTAAATAAATCACTGACAGTGTCACCAGCAAAGCACCCCAACACCATCACACCTCCTCCTCCATGCTTCACGGTGGGAACCACACATGCGGAGATCATCCATTCACCTACTCTGCGTCTCACAAAGACACTGCGGTTGGAACCAAAAATCTCAAATTTAGACTCATCAGACCAAAGGAAAGATTTCCACCGGTCTAATGTCCATTGCTCATGTCCATGTCCATTGTTTCTTGGCCCAATCAAGTCTCTTCTTATTATTGGTGTCCTTTAGTAGTGGTTTCTTTGCAGCAATTTGACCATGAAGGCCTGATTCACGCAGTCTCCTCTGAACAGTTGATGTTGAGATGTGTCTGTTACTTGAACTCTGTGAAGCATTTATTTGGGCTGCAATCTAAGGTGCGGTTAACTCTAATTAACTTATCCTCTGCAGCAGAGGTAACTCTGGGTCTTCCATTCCTGTGACGGTCCTCATGAGAGCCAGTTTCATCATAGCGTTTGATGGTTTTTGTGACTGCACTTGAAGAAACTTTCAAAGTTCTTGAAATGTTCCGCATTGACTGACCTTCATGTCTTAAAGAAAGGATGGACTGTCATTTCTCTTTGCTTATTTGAGCTGTTCTTGCCATAATATGGACTTGGTCTTTTACCAAATAGGGCTATCTTCTGTATACCACCCCTACCTTGTCACAAGACAACTGATTGGCTCAAACGCATTAAGAAGGAAAGAAATTCCACAAATTAACTTTTAACAAGGCACACCTGTTAATTGAAATGCATTCCAGGTGACTACCTCATGAAGCTGGTTTAGAGAATGCCAAGAGTGTGCAAAGCTGTCATCAAGGAAAAGCTACTTTGAAGAATCTCAAATGTAAAATATATTTTGATTTGTTTAACACTTTTTTGGTTAATACATGATTCCATATGTGTTATTCATTGTTTAAATATCTTCACTATTATTCTACAATGTAGAAAATATTTAAAAAAAAGAAAAACCCTTGAATGAGTAGGTTTGTCCAAACCTTTGACTGGTATTGTATGTTTTTCCAATAACAGCTTATGGTCAATCATATCAAAGGCTGCACTGAAATCTAACAATACAGCTCCCACAATCATCAGTCATCTTCTTATTATCAATTTCTTTCAATCAATGATCAGTAATTTGTGTCAGTGCAGTACATGTTGAGTGCCTTTCTCTATAAGCATGCTGAAAGTCTGTTGTTAGTCTGTTTACAGTGAAATAGCATTGTATCTGGTCAAACACAATTAAGTGTCAGTAAGCTGAATGGTCGGCTGTTAGAACCAGTAAAGGGTGCTTTACCATTCTTGGGTAGCGGAATGACTTTGGCTTCCTTCCAGGTCTGAGGACAAACATTTTTCTCCAGACTCAGATTAAAGATATGACAAATAGGAGTGGCAATATAGTCCGCTACATGCTCAGTAGCTTTCCATCGAAGTTGTCAATACCAGGCAGTTTCTCATTATTGATGGACAACTATCCCTTTTCCACCTCACCCACAAAATTCAAAATTACAATGCTTTCCCTTCATTATTAGATATTTTATGCACAAATATGATGGCTCACAGTTTGTTGTTGCTTGATGTAGAATGCTTTTTCTGTCAAAAACAGGATTGAATATTCCATGAGTTTGCTAGTGGAAGCCATGGAGGTCTTTTCTCAGTTGACTCTATAAAAGCTTTATGAAAATCAATGATCTTTCTCTAGTTTGGGACTTTGTGTTGTATAGATATGGCCTTTCTGACTTGAGTTGGCGGTAGTATATGCTCAGCCTCCATCTTCTTCTGCATGGATTTATTTTGGGTTGACACAAGTTATCATCGCTGCTCTGTCATTTAAAATAGATGAAAATCATCAGCAGTGAGTCCCACTGGGTTTAAATGCTGGGTAGTTTATATTCAACGCCAGCTTGTTTTCTCAAAATGTTGTTTAAAGTCCAAAAAGTATTTATTTATTTTAGGAAACCCAGTTGCACTTCATTTCTGAAAAAGAAAAACATTAGTGGGTCTTGACTAATGACATCAACTCTATAGATAGATAAGTATTATTAGTCTATTGAATTCAATGTATTTCTATGTGTTATACATTATAGCCTTTTTGATTGATATACACGTACGTATGGCAATTTTGGATCGCAACCCCTCATGTGGATCTGTGGTTTGTACTCAGTATGTGAACCTCAGACTGGCAGGGAAACGGAGTGGTTGAAGAGTGCATGGTGATAGTGCTTATAAGCACTGACCAGTGACGTCTAGGGTTAATTAAACAATGATAATAAATTGGAGTTTGTGCTTTCATAACTGTCTGACTGGGAAAAAATCCAAGCCACTGTTGAAAAAGTAAAAACACTTCTTGGAATACCATCTAGAATAGTGGTCACCAACCTTTTCTGAGTCAAGATCACTTTATCAGTCAAAAAGCAAACTGAGATCTACTGCTCAGAATTTAAAAAAACATGACTTCAAAAATGTAACATTAACTTAATAAAAACTGTTCTGTAGGAATGAGGTTTGAGCAGTAGGCCTAATACATTATTACAGCATATTGGCTATATGCATGGCCTGCCAATATTGTTCTTCTCAGACTATATTATATTTCAAAACTCGAGCTTTGATAACAAAATAGATCAGTTGGTGTAGCACTTGCAAGACACATCTGATTTGCTAATAATTTGCTTTTTTATTTTACTGGACTGACGGTACCTGCATCTCATGGTCATGGTGCTTTCAAGACAACTGGGACCTCAGAAAAAACAAGGTCAAGTCATGACGTCAGTGAACTTCAGGTCGGAAAGTCAGGGCTCTATAAAGATGCCGGAGTTTTCAAGTTGGATGACTGTTCAAAATGATTTCCCCCAGTCGGATCTTGTTTTGAATGGTCAGAGATTTCCGAGTTCCCAGTTGTTTTAAACACAGCATTAGTCTCAGCGGAGGGAGGGAGAGAGCAGCAGAGGGTCCACCTCTTACAGTCCCTGCTCTCGCCT